GAATCAAACGCACTAAAAATGTTCGGCCGTCTATTTTTAAGCATCGTTATTTGTCAGGTCGAATGACAGTTTTTGTCAGTTCGATACGGTAAATAGTTCGACCCAGTAAAAAGCCGCTGTTTACGTTCCCAAGGGTGTCACGTTCGATACTTTTTGTCATGTAGTGAATAATATAATTTTTTACATAGCGAATAGTATAACTTTTGTTCTTTACACTCGGGACACGTGGATCAAGCCACACGGAATTAATGTGGAAAATTGTGAATTGAAATTGCTGCGAATTCTCGGTTATAAAATCTCAACGTAGTGCATTGAAAAATATCGTTATCGCGTTTCCTAATACGTTAATGTTCACGTTGTTAATGTTTCGCGTTGAACTGTTGATTGCGAGCGTTATTGTTTTTCGAGTCGTATATTCTAACGGCAGTGCATCATAGTTTGCATTTCATGCTAAATTCATTACCGACGCAATTGCGTTTGCAAAAATGATCGGTTTTAAATTGTATACGTGAATTTATGATTCGCCGCGTTACATTAAATCTTAGCATTCCAGTGCTATTTACGCAAATGGGCTTTATCATTTGTAAACATAAATTGCCTCTCTTGAGCCGGAGATACATATAAAACGATATATACCTACGGTAATGCCTGGTAGTTTTTATACTCGTACAGGTCGCGCGCGATTATCCACGCCTCCGGCAACTGCCTAAAGAGCTAATCCACGAAGTGAGAAAGTTACTGGCCTGCCGCGCGTAAGGCTGTGCATTAGGAACGCGGCCGCTTAGTAGTCGCAAATGTAACTGAACTTTAATGCGTGAGGATCTGCAGATATCGTAAATTACGAAACTGGTGAGGTTTTGCGAAGGTCGAAATACGGAACAAACAAACTACAAGCGTCTTCCGAGAAAGTTATAAATGCATCACGATGAAAAACGAAGTGAATTTGATTACTATGACATTGGAACATGCAGAGTTATCATTCATTTGGAGACTTTTGTAAATCATCGCATATATGTAAAATTACGTATAAATGATATGGAAATTCGCATATTCATAACCATTAATCACTTATTGACTTGCTAATTGACTATATTTCATATTTGATATGTTTATTAATTGATCCAATCCGCAACACGTGTATTTGAGGCGTAGATTATCGCATTAGATATGTCACAAATTCATTATTTTGTTATTATCGTGAATAACATGTTACTGACAATGAGTTATCTTTTTATCAAACTCGAAATACACACATAATTTTCGACTTTCGATCAATATATTTTACTCATATAAACTTAAGTATATTCTCATTTCCTAAATTAATTAAACATCAGTATCTAGCAGTAATTTCGTTGAGTGCGCGAAATTACTTCTTCAATGCTCGGTTGTAAATTTGGATTTACGCTGGGTTATAAATTACACAATGCGACAATCTCTCGCCTTAAATCCAAGATCTGCACACGTTCTGGCAAAATCGTAAACTGCACACTAGGGTCTAACAAATCCAAGCATTTCCATCATCATACGTCTATTCTATTTTTTACAAGGCGTTCTATTTTTTTACAAGACGTAATTACTTACATAAAGAGATAGATACAATTGCCTTACATATCTCTTTTTTTCTCGATTTTAATGATTAATTATTAATTCATTTTGCTTCTTGAATTTATCTTTCATGCGGTATGAAATTGAACGAACACTCATAGCGCAATTTTAAAGAATATGTGTTAGTCTTTTTATATTTTCAGATGAGTTTAGCCTTACATATAATTCTCTTCTTTCCTTTCTTCGTATAATGTTTGATATATGAGCTTAACCTTTAAGTAAATGACCACAGCACTTCATGTATAGTTATTTTAAAAATTTTATCTTGGAAAAGAAAAATAAAAGTTTTGCCTAGAGGTTCTCTTAAAGTTCATTATTTTTACATTCCTCTATTTCATAAGAGTAAAAGTAATGTAAATTTAACACAGCTATTAAAAAATAGAACTATGAAAATAGAATCTATAAAAATAGAATCTATTTGGAGTGTTTTGAGCTACTTACTCTACTTACCTACTTAAAGATTAAGTGCATCATGAAATCTGATTGTCTTAAACGAGTTGTTAATCTCAGCTTCACGCTGACGTCATCTCCTAAGTCTTTAAGTGCAGCTCCGGTTCGTGCGATCGAGTTGAACTGCAAATGCAATGAGCCAGTTAATACGGTGTTTGTTAAGACAGTCATACGATCGGACACTCCGACGTATTTACCGTATTCTATCGTGTTTTACGACGATTTGCTTTCAAACCACGCGGAAATAGCTGTGAAGTGGAATTTTTGAGTCTTGAATTACAAGCTGTTTCGAAAGTAGAAGCTAGTTAACTACGTAACAGGAAGATACGCTCTTTCTATCGTTACCTAATCGATAGCTGTATCTTTTTCCATTTGCGAATGGATCCCGTTAATTTTTTCGTTAAAAGAATCTATGAAAATATCAAACGCATACAATTCTAAAAAATCAGGCGCAAAACTATCATCAGAAAGGTATCCGTCATTTAAAATCTAGTTATTCTGATGGTTATTCTCTGATTTAATCACATTGTTTTCACGATACTCTCCTTTCTCTTTTTCTTTCTCTTTTTTTCATAAGAACATGATCGACAGTGATTCTCTGTTTGTCGAGAGCGTGACAGATGTCTGGACGTTCTCTGAAGGCATCTTATACGAGCAATGGGGTCTCATGTAGGTGCACCCTTGTCGACGTGCCTTATCGACATGAACCTATAAACCCAAGCTGGTCGGAGATAATATCAGGAACCCCTTTTCCCAGACTTCTCTCGCGTTTCCCTCTCGTCACTGAGGCTTCGTCCTCTCGTCGTCTTCTCGAGTGCCTATATATCAGAGGAGTCCTCGAGAGCGTGGTAGATTTTCGTCGGGGTAAAAGCGAATAAGGGTCACGAGAGCTCTACGCCGATATGATTTCAGGAATGATTCCGTTCCTGGCGATCGATGTTCGTAAAATCTGCGCCATCGTCAACGATCTGCATTTGTATGCGCAAGAAGAAACTCTTGTACCGGCCGCAGAGCTGTGAGAGAGTAGAAATTGGATGCCGCTGTCGGGATAGTAAAAATATTTGTATGCTACCCAAAATTGATTCCTACGGTCCAAATGTTATTGCAATAGCATTGGAAATTTCATCTGTCATACAAGATTTAAGATTGTGCCAGTCTTTGTATTTATATTATTTTATAATCGATCATCACGCAGAGATAAAGTTAGAATTGTTGATAATGAAAAGGTGTCCTTCTACTTTTGACTACCTCGACTTATAGATTTTCCAAATTATGACTGTATGCGTTAAAAATTAAAAAAAGAGTAAGTTGAACGAAGATTAAAGATAGTCTATATTAGTGAAAACAGGCACTAATTTAGTTTTTCACTATTATTTATAAATTACAATTATTATTTATAAATTTTTTAAAATTCTGATTTTTTTTAATATACTACTTTGTTATATTCATTGCAATGACTCATTAACAATAATGTCTTACTTTAATTTCCGTCAAATTTACTCGCGATTTTCTTATGCATAATATTCCTCTTTTTTCCTCGAGAGAGGAAACCACCATCCTAAAAAGATGGAATACGCCTTAAATGCTGAAATCTCTATCAGATGGATCTGATGCTACAGTAATGGTTGAAGCGTTATTAACTTTCATCGAATGCCGGAAATTCTCCCTCATACTCCGGAAAGATTTAAGCACGCCCTGGTTTATGCTCATTAAACATAGTATGCTGCACGTCGCATCTTTTGCGATCCTTCAGAAGTTTCTTTATTCAAAAATAGGGAAAGAGAGAGGTGCTCGATAAAGTCATAAGTATATATATTTCCATGAGCAATTTTTGCCAAGCAATATTATATTCAGACATTATTTTAGCTCTCTTGTATACGCGTCAGTATGCAAATGCACGCGTATATATTTTTCGTTTAATTAAACAATAACGGTATATTAAAAAAACAAAGTGAACATTATTTTCCACTATCCTCACTCTTGATAATATTTTTCAGCTAATCACTTTTACATATCATTAATTGGAAAATTAAATCAAACGTATTAATTTATAAAATTGCTTTAATGAAATTTGTGCGATTTCAGTTACGTGTGATTTTCATTTGTATAAATAATAGTGCATCGGATTCTCTAAAGAGCTTCGCCGATATCGTTTGAATATTTAAAAATTTTTTTGCTGGGACACACCGCCGGCAGCGCTTTCTCCATGCCAGCAACGCAACAAATCGATATCAATTCGATACTCTCATTCAACCGCCCCATTCTCGAATTTGTTCGACATGCCACATGCGATTCTTGAAATCCGCGTTTGGTTCATTGCGCTTGAACATAGCTCGGGGACGGAGATTTCTTTTCCGCCAGTCATGATTCTTCTACGTCACAGCGACCATTACTCTCATGCTTTTGTTTTTTCGTGCACGCATTATAAATTGACCTCGTGCCTCATATCAAAGCCATGCCGCGCGCGATCGCGGCCACACTCAAGTTGACGTGAAATACCGTGCGCTGCTTGTGTAGTTACGAGCACACGTTGTCTATTACTTGCGGTTTGCACCTCCCGAATTAATTAGCGACATTAATATACGCGGATATGCATATCATCGCGTACCAATAAGATCATATGCACTCGTCGTACTGCTGCAAGATTGAAATCTTATAATTAGACCCACCTATAATGTATACATACGATAAATGAGATAATCGCTCTTAACAACTTACGAAAGGCCTGATATATGATACACATTCAATCGAATTAATTGAATATGTACCAACGGTATCCCAATGTAATTTTCTTGATAGATTCTGTGTAGCATCAATTTTCCGGATTATCCTCAAAGCTCTTCCTCTGCGTACGCAGTACGCACGTCATGATCTTTACAAGTACTATATATAGTGTAGTATACTAGTGCAGTAAATTGGTTGTCAGATTGCTCAGGTATCTACTGAGTGGTATCAAGCTTTTAGTGAGTCCATCAGAAACAGAGTAAGCCTTGCATGAAATCTATTAGTGAAATCTGTAATGTAAGCTTTACATTAAAGATACTTCATTATTGGGCCACGCATCTGAATTTAATCAGAAGAACTTGTCGGAATACAAATCTCATTTAATAATCAAATATTTCCAATTCTCCAGCACGAATATTAGATATTTAAATGAACGTGACAATCTGCACATACATTATATTACTAATAACAAACGTATATTTATGTGATTTATATCGTATGCAGCGCGCGCGAATGAAATCACATTACGCCACTATTGTAGCATAAAGCTTCACGTGCGATTCATCTCACGAAATGTAGATATGCTCGCGTCCACTATAAAAATTAATAAACGCAAAACACATATAAATTACAAGCACGTTCTCGCTGTACATGATACGCTTGACTGTATGTTGAGTGCTTCTCAACTTTCTTCGACGCAAGCACAGTGTGTTGTCTACAAAGTTTCATCGTATTTTTCAGTGTGTCAGTCATTGCTCCAGTTTTTTCCTCTTGCGCTCATTCAACGCAAATTGCAACAAGTTAAAATTTTAATATTCTTACGTGCTTTATGTTCCCAGTGATGCAGAATAAAATGTGGAGACGTTCCGAGATTAAAAAATTCGCTTGAAATTTTTATAAGTCGTAAAAAAGTAGGCTACCTTTTGGTAATTAAAGGATCACAAGAACATAAGTAAACTGTAACTTGTCGCGAGTGTAACAAGAATTTTATTAAATATAAATGTGGTTAGTTACTTACAAATAGAAGTCTTCCGTAAAGAATGCCATATTTGGCTAAATTATAGATTAATTTTTATTATTATTATGTAAGTAATTACATAAATTAATATAACTACAAAGTATTATAAAAAACTGCAACAAAATTTCGTAATTATTTATTTTAAAAAAACAAGATCTAAAAAATAAATTTATACTCGATAGCAGTTTTAAATTATACTTCTATTTAGCGTAAATAGTTGTCACAGAATAGCATATTTTACGAGATAAAATTGTATGATTTCTACACATATTTTTCTTACCAGATCGAAATATTTATTTTAATAAGTTTAAACGATATTTTCTTTAAATATAAAATCTCTTCTTGACAAAAGGTAATTTTTCTTTGGACAAATTAGCATATTAAAGTTATATAAAATATTTTGTTTTGCTAGGAAAAATATTTATAACAATCACAATTTAATTTTTTTTTTATTTTGTTGATTATTCTGTGAAAATAATAAAATTTTTATTAATGAATTTTTATTAATGAATAGAAGTATCATTTAAAACTGCTATCAAGTATAAATTTATTTTTTAGATCTTATATTTGCGGAATAAATAATTACGAAATTTTGCTATTGCAATTTACTTTGCGATCGTTGCTTACAAAGTTGTATCGAAATACAATTTTCACAAAATATTTATACGAGATACGTGTTTATGTATGTGTGTATGTACTCTTGATTTACAATCCACATAATTCATATTTTCAGAATCTCGTTATATAAACATTCACGGAATTGCTTTTACTTTAAAAATCTTTTGGGTTTTATAAAATATGGCCAAGTTCGACATCATGTGCTATTACATGGAATTGGTAAACGGACTCGTGCAATTCGCGCATTAATGCATAGACAAGTGAAATATACTGCATTAACCCGAATGAGTGAAGGTACACAGGAACATGTCATGTGTCTCTCGTTACAAGCTGCTATCTTCTACATCGTCTTACGTTTATGATATGTCCTCGTTATCCGTTCAGATTTATTCAGATTGCGATGTAGCGTGATTTCATTGCACGACTACAAAAAATCGTGCAGCAAAAAATCGTCTCTTCCGATGCACAAGGAAACCTTTATTTAAGACATGAAATATACATCACCACATCTTGTCATACAAACAATTATAAATATTCGAGGAAGGTAATATAGGAAATAATTTGCAACTCGAAAAATAGGATATTTTTTGTTCTTTCTGATAAAAATTTAACTTTATATAAATATGTTACGTAAGTAAATATGCGTTCATGACACACACACACACACACACACGCGCGCGCGCGCGCACATGTTATACATATAAACAGCAACAATTTTTTAAAAATATAATATATACATAATATGCGCTCATATATATTTTTATGCTATTTCTTAAATTTTTAAATACTTAAACTTCATAATATTGTCTAAATTACAATTCTTCTATTTAATTATTGCATGCTCAACCAAAAACAATACGTGTTTATTCGATGAAAAGGCAAATGCAAATGATTATTTAGCTAAGAATGGTCGTTGCAAACTCAAGAAAAGCATACACACAACACGTTTTCGTTCTTCAGAGTGCACATGAAGTGTACTGAGATTGAAAACATTCCTCTAAATCGAAGGGGGTGAAGTGCTTGCTTCCAACATTTACTTTCCATTGGGAAGTTCGACAATTGGCGACAAAGAGGTCGGGGCGCGTTATTTATTTCACTAAGTGCTCTCGATCGTTCGTTACTTGGTTCTGGCTCTCGTTCACTCGCGAAAATTTATAGTCGCATGCTACGTGTAACTCACAGATCCCACGCACCGGCAGGAGGAAGCAATGGGCCTTGCAACCTCGATGGAAAACGCGAAAATTCTCACCGCGTTTGGTAAAACACGTAGGAAATATAACATGGAGTCAGTAAATTCGTGTAAAAATGTAGTGATATTTTTTACTAGGAGGCTTTATCAAGTTTTATTACCACCTCACATATACAGATACTATATTTTGTTTTTAATTTCAGTATATTTAATAAGTTTTAGTTCTAAGAGGGAAAACTTATACTTATGAAACAATTTATTAACTTGTCTCTTTTATGTAGTATAAGTATATGTAGATTATAATAATATAATTAATATGCATTTTTTTTAATATAAATTTTTTTATAAAATAATAATTACATATTCTCTTCTAATATATGCGAAAATTTTTTTGAAGAAAACTTGTATTGCGGATAAGGAAATTCTATTTATAGTAAGATTCTTCGCTTAACAGAACACCGCAATTCTCTACGATGTCGTAAGCCCTCGAGGTATCCATGCCGACTGTCTTACCTACATAACACGAATCGACCTTTATGGCCGACTCTAATGATCAGTAATGTGGACGATCTCCGATCGCTTTTGTCACGCTGAAGATAGGATTCACTTACATTTACGCAAACGAGATTCCTACAATCTGCAGGGAATTGAAGGAACTGAAGTAGATGTGATGTACGAACAGTGATGTATATAATTTTCCCGAGAACCCTTATTGATAAATATCAGAAGTAAACTTTTATTCAAATGTTAATGGTTATATTATATTATGAAAATTACTACATGGATAAAATAATTTTATTGAAGTATTCAAAAGTTTAACGAGATACAGATTTAAAAATGATTTCGTTGGAATTATTAAAATAATTATGCAAAATGCTCAAGCTGATTGCTCGAATGTCAAAACTTTTAGCTCATTGTGCTTGAGTTTCTTATATACAATAATTATTTTAATAATCAAAACCAAATTATTTTCAGATTTATATTTACCAAAAATTTTAAACATTTTAGTAAAATTGTTTTTTTCATGTATTTGTCTTACATTAAATCTGCTATCAGCTTCTGCGATATCAATTTTTTTCAATACACAGAGATCTATAAAATTATAATTTTTTGTTTGTTTGTAATAAAATTCATTTTTTGGGAGAAATGCTTGATATCTTATTGCGGAAATATTTAGGAGGAATCCCAATGAATTTAGCATCAATTCTGTATGAGCATTTCATTTGCTAAAGAATTTACATCGTCGCGCTGATGCGTACTGCTGAACAGTGTAGTAAAGAGAAAGAGAGAGAGAGAGAGAGGGGAGAGAGAGAGATTCTCCTTGAATATATAGTCCCGATTTCGCTGGACATTTCTAGAATGCAGAATAGCAGAGACATTGTGATATTACGCTGTGTGCACCAGTTACAGAAGCGGGGAATTCTGTAATGACTTTACTCATCTGGCTTCCATTCTTGCATTTCCCACAGCGGCCAAGTACTTGCATTATTTTCACAAGTGCATAAATATGGCCAGAATATGTGCACTCTTCACCGTCTGCAACTAATTGTGCAATATTTTTTTGCTTGAAATACACTTTTGTATCGTTTTGTTCACAATGGAAAGAGACAAGTGTGAAAAGTACAAATTCTTTCGGAATTGCAACGCGAAAATGCAGCTCATTACTCGTATCGTAACGAAATATATCTTATCGCAATTTAATATCTAATTAATTAAATCTTTTCTCTATTTATCGTTGTATTTATCATACCATTTTATCGTTAATCAGATATAATTACGTTATTGTTTACCCACACATTATATGTTTAATTTCACACATATATTCCGGTTATGAACTCCTATTCACACAGCACATAATAATTATCTTCGCTGTTAGACGCTACGATTATCTTCGATAAACGCACAGCCTTATTATTCTCACTAGCAACATGTGTGATGCTCTGTAATATTATTCTAAATACTCAAGATTCAAAATATAAGCAGAAACAACGCATCGAGTATACAGGGTTCGCTCTGCATCGAACAATGGAGCATTATATCTAAACGGCGCTCAGGCAAGTATAAAATGAGCGAATAGCAGAAAATTTAATAAGCCGCTCATGCGAACAACGTTTTCTCCCCGGGCCGAGATCGACTATTATCCAATCACCGCAACATTTTCTGTATCATGCATACAAGTTATGACTTAATCCGCTGGTTGCGAACGCTAAGTACCGAATCGCACGAGATAATGATTCCTTGATCGACGACGATCCACTTTTAGACTGCGGACAGGCGAGGCCGCGCATATAATGCACGACGAACAACAGAGAGAGAGATGGAGAGAGTTTAACCATAACAGGGATGCGTTATGTAAAATACGCGCGGTCGACGATACCGATCTTTCGGTTCGATCGAATCTTGAAAAG